TCACGTGCAGCATTCGTATTCTACCAAAGCTTTGATTCTGCCACGGGCATACACGGGGAGCGCACGGTTTATCGATCGTCTACTGCGGCTGGCAGCAAGCCACGTTTATAGTCGTTATTGTTTTTGCCGAAAGGTAGACTGGTATCCGGCCTCACGCTCTGCTAGACAATGTACACGCTCTGCGACAAACAGTGCGGCCGCAAACCAGTCTAGCCAGAGGTGACCTTTCAGTGCAATATATATGACCAATTCTAACACGACCAGTCGGGCTACTAGCACTCTGGTTGTATGCCACCGGACCAAGCATTTACCCGTTTAGGTCGGTCGGACGTGGGTTAGTGTGGAACCCTGCCTACGCTCTTAATATTCGATGTATAGTGTGATGGGGAGGAAACCCATCACCAGCGCAAAATTGGAGGTCACAGGTCAAAGGGCAGTGGGGGAAAGGCCAGATATCAGACATTTTCTGAGGACATGGTCTAACGAACCGAGTGCAAAACTTTTTTGTTTCAGCGCTGACCTACCATTTTCATCACTTTATTGAAAGGACCATGAAATGTGCTTTCCGCTGACGTGCGAAGAGTAAGTGTCTGATAACCTTTTGACCCTCAAGAGGAGGGGTAAACACGGATTTTTTTACTGTTAACAAAGGACTGAACTGCTTTTGCTATTAGAGCCCCTAGCCCCACCCTCCTCCCACCACCGCCACTACGCTCGAGCTCGACGCATATACATGATAACATTATATGTTACACAGCTGTATCTTTATTACTGTACTGCTGGTATAGCAAAGCCTATCATAGATTTTAGATCTGTATTAAGGCCAAGACACTGCAGCGACAGTGACCGACCGTAACGACAAACAAATTTTCAGAAAATTAGAAACTATTGTTTCCTATGAGCCATTGCACACACACGTGACAACGACCGGCGACAACCTCGACAACAAAAATATTTAGGAACGTTTCTATTCTCCAGCGACAGTCACCAGCGACACTTTACAAATAGCCAATCGCAGCCGTTTCCATAGGCACGTGACATTACGATTACGTCATAAACAAGTGCCGCAGAGTGACAGGGCTCATCTGGTGTCTGGTGTTCTGCTGATAAATTCATTTGTGCATAGAAAGACGACCTATACATACGTTCATTTCTAACCCAAAAAAACAACACTTCAAATTAGTGTAATAAAATTCCGATGCAGTGTGTCTTGGCCTTTATTGCATCCTAGATATATATGCTCTGAGCGTGAATGCGGTGGCAGGAAGGCGCACTTGATTCGGTTGCCAGTGACTTTATCAGAAGAATACCCGGCCGTCAGTACACGTTGAGCGCTGTCGCTCTGCAGCACTTAATTGTTATTTCTTAGTTGTAAGAAGATTATAAAAGTGATGGATACAAACAAATAAAAATGATAGCAAATATGTAGTTATTATTGTTATTTATATATACATGTTTGTGCATGGTATTATTTTTAAACTGATTTGTTACTAAATTAAAATATAATGATAGAAAACAATTTAATGGAAATCATCATATGAAATGCCTCTCCTGACACCTTTAAGTTTAAGTTTGAGCCGTACTAAGGGTAATAGAACCACAAGTTATTACTACACTCCAATATCCATGGATGCTAATCTGCCATATACCTAAAACATTAAAAATATTCCGTACCATCTAAAAAACAAATCTATGTGGAACTTTCAACATTATACCTCTCAAAAACATTTTTGAATAAATTCCTGTGTGAGAACTATCATGCACACAGCCAGAAAGTTTTTCAATTCTAATATAGAGCGTGTACCTTATCATTTTCTACGACAATATTGTTTGCAGCTTTCTTGTACACATGGTCCCACCAGTTGAACGTAAACTGCTCTGCCGGATCATGGCCAACTCCTGCCTGGTCTTTTTTAAATTTAACCTTGATAGGTTCCACTATGCCAGAGTGATTTTTACCCAAGCCATCGCCTGTGTATAAACAAGAAAGACCGATTATAAGGCAGGTTTATGTTTTTAAAATAAATAAATAAACTATGGGTCTTTTATAGCTGCAACACAGTAATAATTAATGTGTTCTTCACAGAAGATACAGCCTCACAAATGCACGGGGATACATTTTCCCACCCGAATGTTACACAAGCCTAGACAGGTATGAGAAGCTGTTGGCGACTGCGTTGATTGGCCTGTCCATACAGTAAATTTTCTGCATCCAGTCACGGCTGCCGTCAACATTGGTGGCTAGTGTAACATTTGAATGGTTGTTTTGCATGAAAAATTGACGAATTTCTGTGATATGATTGTATTTTGACAGGGCGATTCTCAAAAATGGCAGGTGTATAGCTTAAGCAATCATAAGTCATTCTAATGATAGTTGGAAAGGAACACCAAGGAGTTGGAGCTGATTGTAAACAACGAGTTATGCACCAGTCAATTGAAACCCCAGCCCCTCAGCCACACGACAGGGCGGGGAATTAACGCTGCCACAGCCGGGATTTAACGCGCATTTTTATTTTATTATTTAGCCGACATAGTAGCCCGGGGTGGCCGGGAAATTAACAACACGTTTTACCAGCGGCGCCATTAGACGTGATTTAACAATGAACAGCTCACACCGGAAGTGGGGGACGCGGCGTTACAAAGTCTGCAGTACTTTACCAATTGATACGTTTATTTGAAAAAGGTGTCACATGATAGAAATTCACATAAATAAATATAGTTGGACTTTACGAACTAGAATTTAGTTAAATTTTTTGGATCGAATCTGTGAAATGATCCCCGGTTATAGAGGCTTTTCACAGACTACCGGCCCTTTATGGGCGAGGAAATTGCTGTTTTTAACACTAAGGAAGGGATATTCCCTCAAACTTTCAAGCGACAAACATAAAATCAGGCAAAAATGAATTATTTTAACATTCACATTGCACGCTTCTACTTGCCTATATATATGTGTGATAGGTGAAAAAAAATTGCTCAGGAATACGTTCATTCAAAGCTTTTAGACTACAAAGTGAAACGTTCGAGTCGAATGTTTCAAACGCGTTTACCGTTGCCGCTATGCGGCAATTGTTCCACTCCGCACACTTGCCGTGTTATCAGGAGTTAATAATGACATTTGTGGTGTTATGTATGTATGAACCATCAACCATGCTATGTAAAATTATACACACTGGCAGGTTATGACCCGATGGTTTTTCTGGTCACGTACATGGCTAGCTGATAGGGAAAGCGCAACGTTTTTGTTGCTGGGAGATTATAGTATTCTGAGCGAGTTAACGAGTGAGTGAGCCGCCTATGGAACCGCTGCGAAAAGCGTTTTTCGAATCGTTTCTTCGATGAGCAAATATAGGCTTGATACATATTTTTACAGTTTTATTAGCTCATCTGACATAGTCAGATGCAGCTTGTAGAATCGCATGAGCGTGCGTGCGTCCGGCCGTGCGTACGTGCGTCAACAGTTGGGCACAAATCTTAACCGCTCGACGTACGGTCACGATATTCGAGACGTTTGGGGGTAATCCGAAAACGAGTTGGGATGTCGAAGCTGGGGTCAAAGGCCAAAGGTCAAGCAGTGTAAAAGAAGGGGGAACATTCCCTCCTTAACTTAAGATATAGGGAGGAAATGCAGAATTGCGGCACAAATCTAAACGCCTCGACCTATAGGCTCGTGATAGTCGGTGTATAGCATCATGGTAGGGAAAGCCATCACTGTGCCGAAATTGGAGGTCACAGGTCAAAGATCAATGGGGCACAGGGTACATTTACAATTACTGGGCAAGGTTAGCGAACCGCGAGAATTTCGTCAGTCTTTGTGTGATTTCACGTGACACGTGCAGCTCGGTTACGAACAGAGACAGTACTTATATGTTTTTATAACAAGTAAACACTGTTCTGGAAAGAGAAACAAAGATGGAAGCTGTTGGATGTGTATTCGTGCTGTGAAACTGTGAAATCCAGCGAGCGTCGAGCGAATTTTGCGATCACGCTTTCCTACCTGCTATTATATTATTATAGTTATTATAGTTATTATTACCTCCGCGCAACAGAGTTGCAGGGAAGGTAATGCGATCGGTCATGTGTGCGCGATCGATAGCGTGTCGAGTCAGCGAGTGGCGAGTCAGCAGCAGCCACCAGTGAGCGGCGAGTCAGCAGCAGCCACCAGTGAGCGGCGAGTCAGCAGCAGGCGAGTCAGTCAGCAGCCGCCACCAGCGAGCACATACATGTTACATGCTCGCGGAGGTATGCACTCTCCATGAGTGCCCTGTCTAGTTATATAAGTGTGAGCGTGCAACAGTGCAGCCGCGAGAGCAATGGCAGCCGGCAGCGTAGGATTTGGACGTAATTTACAGGAAACTGTCGGCAATAATAGATGACAGGTAGTATAGAAACATTAATAATTTGGTAGTAAATAGATTTTGTATTTAGTTAGCATTATATTTTATTGAAACGCTTCAAGTGCCTGTGTGTGTGACATACCGCAAGTGTAAGTCACTTGTCAGCCGAGTGTGTATGTGTGTGTCACTGTGTGTGTGTGTGTGTGAGACACTGTGAGTTAGTGGTACTAGTTTGGGTCTCCGCCCTCATTTTCATAGTAGCAGTATTCTCCTAAACATTTAATGAGCTCTGGCCCTAATTAACTAAGACTCACCTTCTTTCCATCCAGAGGTTATTAAAATATTGCTTGCAAAACTTGCAAAATTACGTTTCCCTGACATTTCTAACTCGACGTCGCCATCTATCTTTACCACGAGACACTGAACGTGTGGTACTAACCTAGAGTGGTTCCACTATCTTCACTCTGCTCATATATTGAATATCTATAACAGAGTGCAGAAACTGGGGACTAGTCTATAACTATCCCGTTGGAGGTGCTAGTCTAGAGTTACTTTACGTCGAAGTGGCTGTGCCTGGCACAGTTTTGGCGAACAGTATGAAGACTGAAAACAGTAAGCGCCAGTCTCAAATTCAGAGCGTTTGCGAATCAGCGCGTGCAGCGCCCTTTATATACTTATACATGTTGTACGCGTTTTGATCATATAATTCTAAAATAGAACAGGCATAGAGAATAGAATAGAATCTTTAGAGATATATATTCTATATCTTTGTCTTAATTGAATCCTGACTCTTGTCTTGATCGTAACTGTATGGCTTTCCCCAAAGGCAAAGTAAGGAACCACATCTACAACGCCAACGGTATGGCCATGTCCATACCATTACCAGATTCCGACAGGATAGTTTGGATGGACTTGGAGGTAAGCGTACGGCAATTGCAATATTGTATTGTAATTTGTAATTCTATTGTTAGTCCTGTTAGATATCGGTGTCGTCCAGTTTTAATTTCAATCTCCTTTCTATTAGGCTACCACTGCCTGATCTTCTTGTATCTTGGGGTCCCTCTCTTGTATTCTCTCTTTGGAATTTATTCTTATTCTTATTCCTTCTTCATTCTTATGTCTTATTCTGCTTCTTATTTCCTTCACGAGCTGCAGTCTATCAACAGTGTGTCCTCCCGGCGATCCACGCGGATAACAAGGCAGAAAAGAGGGCTACGAATTTAGTCTGCCACTCACGGTGCTGTACATCCGATCTCCCTCTCCCTCCCCTTCCGCATTTTACCCGCTTTCTCCTCCGTGCGCTCTCCTCCCCCTCCCCCATTTTGTTATCTGCATTTTTCCCCCTTGATTTTTCGCCCTTATTACAATACATATAATTACTACACTAAATGGGGAATCTGTCCAAAACGTCGTCGAAAATGTACGCGTGCATCAATATCATTCGCAGGGGCCCACCGGCCAATGAGATCTTATTATGCATTGGAATTTAATTTAATTATATTGTCTTTGTATGCCCGACTAACTCCGGCGCAAAGGATATGAAAGAACATAGTTAGGATCTACCGATGAAATAGTGAGATTTCATGAGGTTTCTTCCGTCAGGTCATTGTTGAGATTTTGATGAGGGATTTAGATCAACATTCAACTCTTTCATAGATACAAACCAAGTCTCCACGTAACTCGCGAGGGGTATCAGGGCTTGAAAGCACTAATATGCAAAATAAAGGAGTGTGTAGTAGAAACTATGTCATGACTTCTGCAATTTGTGACCATGTTTTCTGAGCGTCTCCACATTTTTAACTGTTGTCTTCCAACATGTAGTGGCTCGGACTGTAGATTGTTTGATTTTTATTGAGGCGGGAATTTCATATGGGCTAAATTTGGCGTCGCGAGTCTGAGTGTTGAACTTTTTGGTGGGGGGCGCGGATTAAAATTTTAATGCGGGAGCGCGGCATGAGGTACAACGTCGAGAACCATGATCTAAATTGACGTCACACTTCATCGCCTATCATAATAAACAGCTCATAATTAGGACAATGCTTCAATTATAGAGAACATGAAGATATTCGAGAACGAATTTGACAAGAATATAAAAGAAACGGTAAAGTGACATTTAACTAAATAACTCAGACGCACGCCGGCTGTGACAATGACGTAGCCCAATACGATAGGTTTTTAATGTTCAAAACAAAAATATCACAATCTCCCGGTTAATTTTATTTGTCCCCCGTTTGTGTCTTTGTGATATTCGGTTGGCTTTAATTTGCAAATTTTTTTGGCTTCATAAATGCGATCGTCGCTGTCATTGCTGATCAGAATATATATGGTGTTTGGGGGTCACCCTGTTACGGGTCTTTCGAGAAGATAGACCGACAGAGTGGAGCAATCGCGTCACAGACAGATTCCCCATTTATGTAGTAGATTCCTTGTCTCTCTGTATTTCTTATTCCTGTCTTCTTTTTTTCTTTTTATTTACTTATTCTATTACGCTCTCTCCCCTAAATGTTCTCTATTCCTATTCCTTTGGCGTATTCCTGCTTCACTGTATTTATTTCTTATACTTCTTATTCCTTCATCCTTATTTCCTTCTCTATTGCCTTCTAATCTAATTTACCTTCTGATCTTGAGATATTTAATTTACTTGTTATTCTTCATGTCAAGTTATTCCATTCCAGTTTAGGTAGTCACGTTCGTTTGGCAGATCCTGTTTACCAAATGGCCACTGAGGGTGGTACAACACCAGAGTTCTTTTTGCGGCCCTCAGTGGTTGCTTTTTACGTACCATTTGGTAGTATTGTCTGGAGACGGGACCGGCAGTTAATCACATTATTTTTTCAGTCCATTGATAATCTTGCTTGTCTAATATACTCGACGCCTCTACTGACGGAAGTATTACACAGATCTCGATGAGTTGTATCGAAGAGCCAGTTTTACACTTTCCTGTTAGAAAATTCAACTGCTACCTATTAATCGACATTATAGCTAGATACATACCCCCATGCAACCGCAAAAATATAAAAATATACGGCGGACCGCAACGCGTTTGAACTCGCAGCAATCAGTGACAGTGCATGATGCCTACCAGGCCTTTCAGATTTGAAAAAGTATACAGGAGGACTAACCTAATGAGCTCCCCCTAGGGCACGCCCGCACAACCAACGCACCCGCAGTGACAACAGTATATCGGACCAACCATAGGGGACTTTTCACCGCTCCATGAATCACAACCCCTTAAGAGGCATTATGGAGAGAGCGCTCTGCACTAAATAAACATCCACACCTTTTAAAAAGGATGATGGAGAGCTCACTTCGAAGGGCTCTCCATCATGCCTCTTGGTGTGATGATGGAATCATGATCCAATCCTCCGGTCTAGAGTGAGAATGCCAAAACGTAAAATTGGATGTCAATGTTCAATCACTGATTATCATTCTCTTCAACCTTCATTCATTCAATGGCTTTTGTCAGGATTTACATAATTTTATCCAACAACATCCAACACTAGCACACAAGATTTAATAAAAGAATTGAATCGATGTAAAAATAAACTGTTCTTATTTATTCTGCATTTCCATCGCTTAGACTAGAATTCTAATCCATGTACGCTGCATATTTCTGTACAAAATATGCAATCACAGGATCCATCAACAACCTAGCCAACATTAGCTTGTACGAGTTAAGTCTATCTATTGTAGCCTTCTTCTTATCTCTATTTCGACTCGTTTTCACGTCGGCAGAAAAACGCACTTCTGCACTCACGTATAGTAGAAAACACGAGCAGGTAACTTGTGGCTACCGTATAGGTACCGTGATTTGGAATGCTGTTGTTTAGTTGCATTTAATATATATACTATAAACCAGAGCGGTAGTGACCAGACCTGTACCATCTGGCCATACCTTCAGTCACTTACACGACCAGCCAATTGTTGTCGTGTTGCTCAACCTTTGTACCCCCTACATTGAGAAACTAGATGGAGCCGCTATAAGACAATACTCTTGTGCGCAATTTCAAACGCACCTTTTATGAGGACGCGAGTGATGCGCGCGACCATCGGCAACAATTTCGGGTGCGCGGTGGAGCGCGAGCGCGATCAGCGCCCACTTAAAAATGAAAGTCCTGCCTACCACTGGGCCACCGGAAGCTCACACCGTGAAGCCTGAAGAGCCCCTGTGTCTACTCTACTACTTACTACTATAATACGCAACGCTGGGAAAACATTCTGCTCTCCTAAAGTCTGTGGTACGGCTGAGAGGGTCTATGTCCCCAGGGTACTGCCGGAACGTACCCTCGGTAAGCTATTCTAATAATGCGCGACCGTACTCACCTACTCACTAACTGAGTCCAGGGAGTGCCTACCCTACTCCCTAAGCCCTAACCCTAACCCTAGCCGACCAGAGCTGTGCGATCCGGATTCTAACCCTAACAATACCGTTTCTTGGAGGGAGTAAACCTACAACCCTGACAAACCATATCAAATAGTTAACCAGGGTACGTTCCGTATATCCCGGACCGTACCCCAGGGTACAGTTCCGGCAGTTACCTGGGGACATAGACCCTATGTGGCTGTGCACGATGTTAGGACAATGATTGCCCAGAGATGCCACGAGAAAGTAGTAACCTTATAACCTCCTAAAGAATTAATAGATTAGTCTCAACAGTCAAGAGTGTATCGAAAAACCGGAGTTAGACAAAGTTGATCAAAATAGAAATAGACTGGCGGATTCACAGTAGAACAGCTCTTCAAATTTGCAATTAATAGACGCAAAGCAGGACGGAGGAGAATTCTAAATTGGGGTGAAAAAAAATGAAGATCGTTAAACTTGAAGTTGGCTCGTCTAGCTGAGGTCATGTCGCAATCTGAGCACGAAATGCAGCACCGGCACCGCAACTCCTGGTGATATGCGATACATATTTGATTGCTGAGATTGTCACGGACACAATGAATTCGTTCTGTCGGTGTTGGCACCACGATGACAATCCAAAGGCTGAAAGTTTTCGAAAATACTTAGTATAAATTGGATGTGCTTGATAGATACAATTTATCAAGAGCCCATTCAGAACCCCTTATGGGGTTAATGGCTCTTGGAATTTATATGTAACCAACAGAGTAGGGTTACCGTTCCTCGTTTGGCTACTCTGTGGCTATATAATAGCATTCTCAGATCCACGTAGAAAAGTAAGAAATTTTTCCCGTGTAGATGGTGCCACTTAATATATAATGAGTCCCAAGAAATTATAATTATACTACTAGTTATTAGACGTCTCTAATGTATTTTCTATTGTGATATTGTTCTAGCTTATTGCCCGACTCACAGTTTTACACTCAAATTTCATCTCCTGGCAAGACCAGTGAAATCATGGGATCGACAGCCATAAACGTAAGGGCTGGCGTAATTCACGAAAACTATTTATGGTAAAGCCCGTGGCACATTGCCGAAAACATTTTGGCTCCAAACAACATTATCGTTAGCAATGTTCCATGAAAATGTTCGGCAAAAAAAGTCGCCGAAACAATTTGTTATCCGAACAATGTTTCTAAAGATCGGAAATGTTTGATATCTCGACATTGTTTCGTCGAATGTTCTGTCAACGTGCGCTGAATGTCGAACAATTCTAAAAGAATCATTTGTAAAGTAGTAAACCAATAGCAGCAGCGATATGTGGTTACATAGATTTTTGTGCCCCAATCATGCGCACGATCACCTTCGCGACTCTTTACAAACACAGCTACTAGATGCTGCACGAGGTTCGTTCGCTGCAAAAATGTTTCGCAATGTCCGCTCAGGCAATTGTTCACTAGAACGGATGCGACCGCACATTGCCAGACAAACACACATTGTTCGGAGGAAAAATGTTCGGCCAATGTGCCCAGCATTAAGGCGCCTTGAATAAATTTAGGAAAAACCGACTTAGACACTG